GACTTGGTGGCTGCCTATAAGTACATAAGCGGGGTGCATCAGGATCTGGGAGAACAGCTGTCCCCAAGGGATAACTAGGTCTAACGGCCACAAGCATCTCGAAGACTGATTCAGACTCGATATAAGGAAAACCTTCTTTCCAGTCCGAGTGTCCAGGGTCTGGAACAGACTCTCCCAGCGGTGGTGTGAGCACCTACTCTGGACTCATCCAAAAGGGGTTTGGATGTGTATCTTGCTGGGATCATCTGATCCCTGCAGACTTCCTGCCTTTGGCGGGGGGCTGGACTCGATCTCGCAAGGTCCCTTCTAGCCCCTAATGTCTATGAAATCTATGAATACGACCTGGCAAGCGGTTCCTTAGATGTTACAGCAGCCCCCTTTGGGGGTACCAGGCCTCGGCCCTCCACCGCCTGTGCGGGAGGTTACTTTCTGGATTCCTCGTTGCTCCAACAAGAATTCCAGGGCTGCTCCTGTCTCGCCAGCGTGGCAACGCAAAACACGCGCTCTCTTCGCTTGTCTACTCCTTTTGCAACTTTCTTATCCCAAATTGTCCAATCCCCTGGCTCTGTGCCAAGCATTTCTTCTATGGTGCACCCGTCCCCTTGCACTGTGCCAGCCAATTTCTCATAGGGAAGCTGCTGTGCCTTGCTTGCCTCCTGCTTGATCGCGGCACTCGCCTCTCCCAGTGGCACAGCAGGTGCTCTGTTCAAGGTTGTTGGTCAGCTCTGGGAAGGCTTGGACTATGGCTAAAAACCCTTAGCATAACTCAGTTTTCCCGCTACGCCAGCCTCTCCCGGCCCACAGCCTGAGCCTCTGCTGGAGCTGCCAAGTCGCAGCGCCAAGCCTCCCTTTGCTCCCCGACCTGCCCCTTCCCCCAGGCATTGGCCGCAGCGATGCTATTGGAGCTTTTGATGTCCAGGATCACCGTCTGCAGCCTCCCCAATGTCACCTGCCTCCACGCCGTACTCAGGGATGCCGCAGCCCCCTCCACTTAGGGCCAGCTTCCCGCCCCCTTTGCTGCTCACACTGACAACGCGGCCCCGGGCTCCCCGCACCAGGGGCAGCAGGCTCAGCATCACCTCTATCAGCCCCGCCAGGTTGACGTCCAGCACCCTGGTGAAGTCGGCCTGGCTCAGCTCGTTGGGGCCAAAGCAGGGGTGGCTCCAATGCCAGCGTTGTTCACAAGCCTCCAGAGCCCTGCGGAGGGCACGAGAGCTGTGGGCTGGCTCCTTCCCTGGCCCAATTCAGTTTTTTGGGATTTTTTTAGAGAGACTTTTTCGAGTTCCAGTCCAAATCAGCGAAATCAATTCCAAATCCACGAGTCAGTCATGAACCATACATGACCCGAGTACTGGCAAAGATCCTCCACCCCACCTGGGGCTTCAGATGTTTTCAAATCCTTTGGCAGGCCTCCTACATGCAGGCCCAAGCACAGAGGCTTGGGGTTTGGATGCCCCCAAGTTTCACTTGCTCTCAGCCAAAAGGCCCCAGGGGCAAGCCAGGAAGGAGTTTGCCATTTCCATAAAGTGGGCGTAAAGCCAAGACCTTGAACGTGGGAGAGTAAATACACATTACTTCCGCAGGTACTACCCCGTATCAGAAAAGCGGTTTCACCCGGGTGTGACTAGGAAAACCGCCCAGGTGGTCACGGTGTTTCCCCTGCCAGGGCTGGCTCCTTACCTGGCCCAACCCAGCTCCCAGAGCAGGAGCTCCGTGGCTCGGCCCTTGCCCCATGCCTCCCCTGCGCGCTCTGGTGGGGCAGCCGACCCCTCCTGCCCTGTGTTATGGCAAGAGTCCGGTTTTGACTCTACAGAAGATTTCTTCAAGCCAATCCCCTTCCCGGGCAGGACTGTCCTGGGCAGAGGGAGGTTGGTCCCAGCCTGTCCCGTTCTGCAGCCCGAGCCTCTGCTGGAGCTCACAAGGAACAGGGAAGGGCAGCAGGGGCTGGGGCACAGAAAGGGTCCCCAGGCAATGACCAAGGGCCGAGGGGCTGCAAGAAGCCAAAGGTGCAGGGGGAGGTCACGGGATCTGTTCTTTACCATCTTAAGCGCTCCCCAGGGATGAGTGGGACAGTCAGGGTAGTATCCCCCTGTGAGGGTCCCGTGGGGCTTTAGGGATGGGCCGCAGAGAGGCAAGGAGCAGAGTGGTTTGAAGGGCTTGGAGTGAATACGACTCCTTTCTCCAGCTGCCTCCTCCGACCCGTCTGCCTTTGCCCCAGGAGACAGCAGAGTCTGAGCTGCGGGGACCTGGGCAGTGTCACTCAGGGCCTTGTGCTCTTATGTACATGGAGGCGCTGGACAGGGAGCCGAGATCAGAGCTTGAGTGCGTGGGGACCAGCCCACGACAGCACAGGGCAGCACCACGAGTCACCTCGGGCTTGCACCTGCCCCTTTACTCAGGTGGTGGCCGCGGCGATGCTGCCAGAGCAGATGAGGTCCAGGATTACTGTCTGCAGCCTGCCCAATGTCGCCTGCCACAGCTGCTCGGCCCCCTGCTCCGTCAGACACGCCGCCAGCACCCACAGCCCCGGCCCGGCCAGATCCATGGTCAGCAGGTGCCCGAAGCGGGAGTCATAGCCCGTGATGAAGACATGTTTGTCTGGGAGGTTCCTGACCGTCTGCTGCTCCTGGTGCCATCGGCGCAGGACATAGAGTGCCGGGAGGGCCGCCAGGTACAGCCACATCCTCATGGGCAGCTTCTGGTTATGAAAGAAGTTACTTTAAGCCGAAGCAGCTTCTGACTCCTGGCTGCTGTCAGCAAAAACTCCTTGTACCTGTAAGGCAGAGTCTGGTCTCTCCAGCAATGCTCCAAGCGAGAAGCTTGCACATACGGGCCAGAGCAGCCACATGCCTATGTCTGGCAGGGGGCATGCCAGGACCAAGGTAATGCAGTTAAAATGGCACTGTGTAGTGGAGGGTTGCAGCCCTGTCTGCCTGCGGACAGGGCTCCCTATGAGAGTCTCATGGCCAGCTTCCAGTGGGAGGATCTTGGCTACACGCTGACTTTATGAAAATGGGAGACTCCTCCCCAGCTTGCTCCTACAGCTGTACGGCTGAGGGCAAGTGAAATCTGGGGGCATCCAAACCCCAAGCCTCCAGGCTTGGGCCTTCAAGTAGGATGCTTGCTAATGGATTTGGAAGTATCTGAAGCCCCAGGCTGAAAAGTCTGGGCTAAAGGATACTTGCCGGTAGCAGGGCCACATATGGTTCTTGAGTGATTGAAAGGATTTGGAACTGATCTGGCTAGACCTGGGACACGAAAACATTTCCTTAAAAATAAAATTTTTAAAAGGCTGTGTCTGGGCAGCACAGAGCTGGGCACCCACATGCGCCCACGGGGAACATCTATAAATGTGTGTCCTGGTGTCAACATTTCTGCCTGAGGAGGGAGGCAGGTCGCAGGTGTCCTCCTGCATTCTCCTGTCCTTGCATCTTTGCTCTGGCCATGTATCCTTTGCAGCAGAAAGGATAAACAACTGCCCAGGTCAGGAGGGACCCGGCAGTGGAGGGAGGAGCTGAGAGAGCAGCCGGAAAGCGTGTAAAAGTGTGTCCTGGTGTCGACGTTTCTGCCTGAGAAGGGAGCTGGTCTCTTCCCCTGTTCTTTTTTCCTTGCATCCTGGCTCAGGCTGCTTATCGTCTGCAGTGAATCCTAAGCCAGGAGATGTCCGGGCCTCTCACTTGTCCGGCTGGCCCTGGGGGCTGGAAGGGACTTGCTTTGTGGGGCCTTAGCTGAACCAAAGAGCAGAGAGGGGCAAAGGCGCCAGAACCAGCGGACCTGGCTCATTCCCACCTGATGGGAGCAGGAGAAAGTGCCGATATAACCGTGGTGGGAAGCAACCCCTCTTCCCCACCCCCAGTACCGAGCGGGGGCCATGGGTCACAGAAGGCGCTGGCTGCCAATGGCTGCTATGACCCAAGCCGCCCATGTGCTTGTTACAGGCTTCAAAGCCAAGGGGGTTGCCTGGTGGAAAGATGTGGACCAGGACAGACCCAGCGTTGGCAGGACCCAGCAGCTGGGTCGGGGATTAGGCATAGCTCTCTGGGGAGAACCTGGGGACTGGCAGGCAGAGGGGGCTGTCATCGCTGGTTCCTGGAGCCTTGCCCCATTGTCACTGCTGCAGGCTTGAAACCAAGGCCCCGTCCTTCCAAGGAAGCTCTGAGCCCAGCCTGCCTTGGAAACCGTGACGCGTCTTGCAGGGCTGGTAAGAGCTGCCCCCTGAGAGCACGGCATGGATGGACCTTGCCTTGGAGGGAGGCCTGATCTTGCCCTCACCCCAGAGCTCAAACTTCATTGGACCCTGTCCCCCAAAGTGCCTACAGCTGTCAGCTCCGGAGAGTGGCCACTGTGTGGGTGTCCCAGGCTGGGGAGGGAGAAGAGCTCATGTCCTGGGAAAATGCCCAAGGTGGAGGCTGACGAAGGTGGCTTTGTTTGGCATTGCCTGTAGATCGTGATGTCCCTAAAGCTCAGGCACTACCTGCACTGGCAGGGACAATGGCCTGGCCAACAAGTCTGCATGGAGTCGCTGAGAAAACATGCAACCCCCCTCCCACCACAACCATAGAGTCCCCAGGGTTCAGCCTTGCACCCGCCACCTTTATTTCTTTGTTACACGCTGAACAGTCTCTGCCGCGTCCCCCCATGGTGGAAACGTTGCTCCAG